TGAAAACCCAAATCCAAACCCACCCAAAATTTTAGAACCCTACGGTTTGTTCATAGTTGGGTTGGGTCGGGTTGGAGATACTTTTAATTAAGAACCCAACCCAACACAAAAGACACAACTATTCTATACCAAAAAATATTATATAATTAATTCAAATTTTAAACAAATAAATCAAAACGAAAAGTATCAAAATGCATAAGTGAAATACAATTTGCTTCAACATAAGTCTAGTTTTTCTCACAAAAAATTGTCAAAATAAACTAAAATAGTTATAAGTGAACTTATTCATAATATATCATTCTTCTAAAATTGTACACACAAAAAATTATGTGAATTGTAGCCTATACGAAATATACGTCTAAATTTTAAGTAGAATAATGTATTAGACTAGGGAAACCACAAGAGAAAAATATGATAAAATATCTTAATTTTCTTATAAATATGCTTATATACCACACAAATATGTTTTGTATAGGAACATTTATGACAATAGTTGGAACACGGGTTGGGTCGGTTTCTACTGGTTAGCGCTAAATACGGGTGGGTTGGATCGGATTGAACGGTTGGGCCGGTTTACGTGTGGTTTTGTTCACCCCTAGCCATAGGGACTCAAACGAAATGTCAAAAGTATAATACTAAAGCCCAATGGTAAAAAACATCTAAAAATTCCTCAATGTAGTGAAAATCACATTTTAAAGTTTAAAAGTTTACGCTTTTATACTTCCAGGTCATCAAAATGCTTTTACGTACAATCGCGCTTTTCACTTACAAATGTAGTAAAATCTACGCTTTAAAATTTAAAAGCTTACATTTTTACACGTATAAGTCACCAAAATATTTTAACGTAAAATCGCGATTTTGACTGTTATATAGGCGAATTTATTTTTCTCGCATACAAAAATTTCACTATATCCACCCAACAATTGTGAGCACCACAGGCGGATTTATTTTCCTACCACGACACTACTTCATCGCTCGACACCTCATCATTCCTGGCCCCACTCCATGATGTTTTTACTCATGCCAATCCTTACCCGCCACCTCTATCTGTTTGCAACCGTCTGATTGAAGTCACCTCACATCAAACACGTCCATTCTGGCCTTCTTGGTAGCCTGCCGGTAACCACCAAGCCACACACAATGAAGTCAAAGTCAGTGGTCCGTTTTATCCACCCTACAATACAATTAACTCCGCTTCAAATTAAATTAACGGTACATTAGGCCACAAATTCTTGGGTAATTGATTTTTGCTCTTTTTAGTGGGTATCTTAATCTTAAGGGCTCTGCAACTTTCAGACTTAACCCCAAGTCATTTGACTTACAATTGTGTTTGTTAATGATACGAACATCAATCAATTAATTAAAAGCCCAAGCAATATGCACTGTTGCACATGATTTTTTCTCCGTATTCACTATTCATTATGGGATTTTATATTGTATGGCCAGTTTTGTTGTCATCACCTAATTTAAGTAATTTTCTTCCCTAAGTATCACACGGAGGTTGGCCAAACTTCTCCATTTTTTTATTTCCCCTTTTGTTTAGTTTTACAAAGAAGGTTTCCATATTCATTATAAGTTTCCCATTCATTATAAATCTATGATATGTTCTTTTTTCAAAATGAACCTAAGTTATGTGATTAATATTATAAAAATACTCATTATAAGTTTCCCATTCATTATAAATCTATGATATGTTCTTTTTTCAAAATGAACCTAAGTTATGTGATTAATATTACAAAAATATGTCAAGTAATGAATACGAAACGATACTTATTTTTAACGTAAAAAGACCATCAATAACGTAAGACTCACATAATGACATTTTACAACTACTAAGTAACATATAAATACATTACGTAAATGCTACAAAATTTAACAAGTCAAATGTCATAGTTTATGTGTTATGTAAGTTCATTAAGACAATACCGTAATGATTACAAATATTTCACTTAAACTATGTATTATAAGTTTGAAAGAAAGCTTAAACTAGGTATTATATATGAAAGTTTGAAAGGAATTTTCTATTATTAACTAAATTGTTAGAACATTTCATCGATATACATAACAAAAAGCTTTTGTAAGGTCAATTATTTTTACGTTACATTTTATTCAAATGTGATAATTTTCTTAACTTCGGTGCTCTAATAGTAAGTCCTTTATTATTAACTAATATATATATTATCTCATCAATTTGCATCAATTTGATTTTATTATTAGACCACACATTATGAAATACTTATGTATCACCGTTCAATAACAGTCATGTAAAATAGAAAACCACTACATACAAATTATGGATGCCTAATTGTTTTTTATGTATTAATTAAGAGAGTATGCCTATTGTGACTTGCAAGTCACTATAATTTGGAGAAAATGGTTGGCCTTTCCAATTAAGTGGTCGACCACTTTCCAAGGAAATGGTCAACCTCTTCCACAAAGTGCTCTACCACTTGAGTCAACCAGTCTACCCCTTCCAAAAATGGGTTGACCTGATGACACGCTTACCTTCAAGTGGTCGACCTCTTTCACCAAGTGGTCGATCAATTTCCAAGAAAATGATCGACATCTTCCATCAAAATGTCTACTACTTGAGTCAACCAGCCTACCGCTTTCGGAAATAGGTCGACCTGTGAGACAATTGTATAACAAATATACTCTACTCTTTGAGCATCTAAACAACAATAGCAACAAAGTTGATCCATTACAAGACAACTATAGGATAGAAACAAGAAAACTTAGAATTTGATGGAAAGATGAAAGTCTCTATAGAGTAAGTTAAATATAAGAAATAAATAAACGGGATATTTTTCAAATCTACGGGAGAACAATCACTCGAGAAACTTATCATCTATGCTTGCAGTATTTGTACTAATTTTATATCTCTTACTAGCAAGCATATATGATGATATCACTAGCAATAGTTCATCAGGTGGACCAATTATTGAAAGCGGTGGACCGTTTGGGAAAAGAGGTAGAACACTTGATGGAAGTGGCAGACCATTTTTTGTATAGTGGACGACCTTTTAGTGGAGAAGGTCGACCATTTGTTGATCATAGTAAAATGGAAAATAGTACATATGGTCGACCATTCCAACAATGAGGTCGACTATTTTGTCCAAATAGGTCGACCATATCAGTGAAGAGGTCGATCGTTTTGTCCAATAGGTCGGCCATATTAGTGAAGAGGTCGACCGTTTGTGCAAGTCACCGTAGCAAAGCCCTAATTAAGAATGTATTATTTAAGTCTACTATGATGATTAAGACACTACACAAATGTTCTTTAGTGATAGTTATTTCTTATGAGTTAAACAAACAAATTATGTAAGTTTTATGTATTATAAGTTTGAACCAAAATTTATATTATTAACTAAACTATTGACCATATCGTTAATTTATATTATGCAAAGTTTCTGTAAGGTGAGTTATTTTTTACATCATATTTTAACCAAAAGTGATATTTTCCTTAACTTTATTCCTTTATTATTAACTAAAATATCCACCATCTAATTAATGTACACTACAACCGAGTTATTTAACATTGTTCAATTCTGTAAACTTACGGAGGGATAATAATTCTACACTTTAGGTACTTGATTATTATTAGAACACACAAATTACATAAAATATAATTTATGTAACACTATTCTATAAAAACTACTTGAATTATAAATTTATTACACAAAAATAATGGAGGGATGGTTTTCTCATGTATCAATTAAATAAATTTTTATATAATTTTTTCGTAATAATTAATCCACTACGTAAACTTATAGATCGATAGTCAATTAAACAAATACAATACTTTTTGTACCGGGATTTCTTTATTATTAACTAAACTATTAATCATCTCATAATTTGCATTACGCAAAGGTTCTGTAAGATCAATTACTTCTACATAACAGTTTAATAAATGTGATACATTTTTTAATTTGATTTTTTTATTAGACCATTACGAAAGATTAGTGTAACACTTCTCTATAACAATTACATAAATTATGAATACATTGCCTAAATTTTATGGAGTGATTGTTATTTCTTATGTATGGTTATTAAACAAACATATTACGTACTTTTCATAATTATTAAAATGCTACATAAATTTTATAGAGCGATAGTTATTTCTTATTATGTATCTATTAAACAAGCATATTGCATAAATTTTTCATAATGTTTAAGTCACTACGCAAAATTTATGAAAATATCTTACCTGAGTGGTTATATAATAAATATTTTCAACTAATTACCAAATTTTTTATAAAATAAATTTTTTTTCTAACCGCCGCAAAGCGCGGGTCAAAAAACTAGTAGTAATAACGCTACAAGGGATCTGATGTAACATTTATTTTCCCACTTCCCTCAAATCTCATATGTTAGGTAAATTGTATCTTATGGGCCGTTTGGGTCAAGAGTTCGGGTCATGGATTTCTAACACTGGGGAAATTATCATCTTTCAGCTCCTTTGAACATGTTGGTCTTACCAATCCTTTTCGATTGATTCACAATGGATCACTTGGAGCTTTTGCATGGATTCACCATTAATTTGTTCACGATTCTACAGACTCTAAAGTATTGCTTTCATTTCTTGGTACCAATTTTGTGTCTCCGACTCTCTCTGTGATAGGAAATGATCACTTATTTATCCAAAAGAATCGAGAATCGATGGATTACAAGGATGATGGACTCTTACAGACATCAAGCCCATAAAAAAATCTAGTAAAACATAAACAATTCACACGATAAATGACAAATTACGCTAATCAAACATCTAATCATGTAATCACGAGTTCAATCCTCCTTCGCTACCGCTTCTACAATACATCTAATATGGTCTATACCAAAATGAACTTTAGCAACAAATTCGACCACTCAATTTGTAAATGAGTACTTTTACCTTCATCGCGTACATTTATCAAAATATACACCTCATATTGGTACTAAAACTAGTCCATAAAAAGTACATATTATCCTCATACCCTAATATATACGGTGAGCAAAGGAAGGCGAGAGAGAGAGAGAGAGAGAGGAGTTGGTACTTGGTAGTGAAGGAAAGAAACCAACGGCACACATATAAACACAAAAGAGAGAAGAAGGCTTCTTCACACCAAGCAAGAAGAAAGAAGTATAGAAAGCCACAAAAGGAAGGGAAAGAATTTCATGTCAGTTTTCTTTTGCTTAGCTTAGCTTAGCTTTGCCCTTCTTCTGCAGAGAGAAACAAAAAAAAAAAAAAAAAAAAACAAATAACAAAAAGGAATTAAGGTCTTAGAGAGGGGAAAGAGAAGATCGAAATGGGGAGAGGTAGGGTTGAGCTGAAGAGGATTGAGAACAAGATCAACAGGCAAGTAACCTTTGCAAAGAGAAGGAATGGACTTTTGAAGAAAGCCTACGAGCTTTCTGTTCTTTGCGATGCTGAAGTTGCCCTCATCATCTTCTCCAATCGTGGCAAGCTCTATGAGTTTTGCAGTAGCTCAAGGTATAATATAATTTGATCAATTCAGTTCAATCCCTTCTCACCACCATAGCCATACTCTTTCTCTCTCTTCATTCTAGCTATCTACAGCTAGAAACAAAAGAAAATGAAATGAACCCTTTTTCTGTTTTGCTTCCTTTGTTTCTGGGTGTGTCTTGAAAAGAGGGAAAAGGGGAAGAAGAAGAAGAGAAAGGAAGGGAATTGGGTTTGCCGTTTCTGTGAATGTCTCGGCGTTTATAGCAGGTTGAGTGTCTTGCTAGTATGTGTTGATGTTAGATCTGCAACTGGTAAACACTATAGGAAGGCAAATTTTTTGCCCCTCCATTTCTTCTTCGCCTTCTTTCTTCTTCTTCATAAAAAAAGAAGCTTTCCCTACCACTGTTTCATAGACCTCTTCTTTTTCCTTTTATTGAATCTTTGAACGTTCCAATTCTGTATTTCTGTTTTCTCATTAGGAAGAAACATAGATATGTTGTGTACTTGGTAGCACTAAACTTCGATCTGTTTGTAGCTAGTTTTTTTCCCGGAGGCTTTTCTCTGATGTACATGTCGCAGCTAATTTGGATCTACCTTTTTTTAATGAACCATCTGAAATTTTCATTCCTTCCTTCCTCATTTTCTCAGGATCCAAACAAACTCGAAGTCCAGTTTTCTCACTACCCTTTCTTTTTTTCCTCTTTTCCCACCTCTCTGCTTACTTTTCTTTCATGAGCTTCCAGCACGTAAGTTGAAGAAACTAGCTAGCTGCAGACATCTGTTGATTTTAGCAGCTGCTCTCTAGGTTTCTAAAACAAGCCTTCTTCCTCAGAGCAGGTTCAAGCAATTTATTGACATAGTTTATTGGGTTTGTTTGGAAATGAATTTAGTTCATTTACCAGAAAGTTTCCATCTCTTTTCAATCTATCAATCGAGGAAGAAATTCAGAACATTTTGGCTGCGGTCTGCTTGATCTTTCTTTTCCTTCTGTTCTTTCTTCCGGTTTTTTATGGCGGAAGTTCTTCTATATTTCCGTCGGATCTCGAGTAGCTTCCTTGTGGGCGCCGGCGGTAAAATTAAACCCTTCTCCACACGCAAGCGCGGCAGAGATGGGACTGTTTTAGGGTTTTCAAGGTATAAGAGAATAATTAATTAATTAATTAATTAGGGTTTCATATTTCCCTTTTTCTAATCTCTTATTCACATCACAATCAGATTTCAATGTTTCTGATCTCTCGCTTTCTCTCCTTTGCACACAATTTCAGATCTGAGAAATTGATATGATGCATTTGGATGGGTCTTGTTGCAGTAGTAGTTGTACAACTACAGGTGCTCGAATGATGGTGTTTAGGGTTCAGTCTAATATCCAAGGGATATGTTCTATTTCTCTCTTGATAATCATCATTATTTCTCACTCATTATTTATGACTTTTCTCCTACTCTCTTATCAATCATAATACTCTAAATTTATTATCCATCAAGTCTAATAACACTTAATTTTTGAATTAATTATATAGTGTCTTATAAAATTGACTTACTATTTTCTTTCTTAATACGCGGTGTTATCAAATCTCAAACCTTAGATGGATTCATAGTTTATGTTTCACTGTCGAGATGAGTATCGCTTTGTTATCTTTATATATCTTAATAAAGAACTTGGTTTAAGTTCCCTTATAACTATGTTAAACTTGAATGAAGAATGATTGGGGGATTGCAAATTTGGAAAAAAAAGCAAGAGAAATATAAATTTACCTTTTCCTTTTCCGAACAATTATTTGTCCATCCAAACAAATGAGTTTGTATAATCCTTTCCCAAAGAGATCATTGTGTGGAATCCTTGGTTCAAGCCATCCTAGTACTTTCAATAATTTGTTTTGTTTAGATGCAATTGGTAAATCACACCATAGTATTTGTTCGCCATTTGCTTTGTTTAGTTGCAAATGGTAAAACCATGCATCCTAGTATTTGTAAAATATTTGCTTTGTCTAGTTGCAAATGGTAAACTATGCAGCCTAGTTTTGTTTAGTATTTGCTTTGTTTAGTTGGAAATGGTAACTCATTTATGTGTCTTTTGATTAAAGATTAATTCATGGTGCTAGGCACATAACCACAATTGTCCTCTTGGTTTGTTCAGCATGCTCAAAACCTTGGAGAGGTACCAGAAATGTAATTATGGAGCACCAGAATCCACTGTCTCAGCTAGGGAAGCCCTGGTAAAATGTTTCTCCCTCATTGAACATCAATCAGTCTTAATTTAATCTTGAGTTGCATCGTTATTTAATGCTTTTTTGAACTTCCTCTTCTTTCTGGGCCAATGGACAACAGGAGATAAGCAGTCAGCAGGAGTATCTGAAGCTTAAAGCCCGCTATGAGGCGCTGCAAAGGTCTCAAAGGTGAGCCACCAAAATAGTTGATCATTAATACGCCTTCATGTTTTCCCTAATTAAACTCACGTGGAGGGCGGGCTGCATGATCCGGTTCGGTCATGAATTGAAATGACTTGGATCATATCAAAACAACAACTGAGGATCAAAGGTGACCGGGTTTGGTTTGAGATCAGTTTATCTTGTTCTTTTCTTTTACATTGATCCATGAAAATGATTAAATCAAACTAAAAATGTATTGAATTTGGGAGTGGAGAAAATGGTGTATGTTATACTTCAATCAGTTCAGTTTTTAGCCAAGTAAGTTTGGTTCGGCTCTATCTGATGTGGATCGAATCATCTCAGACCTGTGATGACTTGCATGTTTACTATCTCTGGCGAATTACTTTGAGATAGTTACATATCAATTTTATTTGTGAGGTAAACCTTGGAAATGGACTCATGGTGGTAGCTTGCCCCCTTTTCATACTTTAGGAACTTGCTCGGAGAAGACCTAGGGCCTCTAAGCACTAAGGAACTCGAGTCACTTGAAAGGCAGCTTGACATGTCACTGAAGCAGATCAGATCTACAAGAGTATGTAATGGGAAATATAGATTCAAGTAACATATCTCCTCTCTGTGCTATATTCACAATTGGAATCTCACTTTTTCTTCTTGTTTTACTGTATTTACAGACCCAGTACATGTTGGACCAGCTCACTGATTTACAGCGCAAGGTAATGTATACAACGCAAGACTTTCTCTAAAGATATATACTGCTGTTTCTTTGATTCTGCCCTTGGTCCTATTTGTTTAGCAAAATGGGTTTGTCATGTGCAGGAACACTTGCTGAATGAGGCAAATAAGACCCTGAAACAAAGGGTAGGTGACCTTAAGTTCCGCACTGTAGGTCATAGTTTTGGAGAGCCTAGAATCCGAATCCTATATGGAATTCTCTCATCAATCACTTGTACTATAATCAATCACCCATCAAGTGAAGAACATGATTTTTATTTCTTATTCATTTTTGTACATGATTTGGCAGCTGATGGAAGGGTACCAAATAAGCAACACGCTGCAGTTGAACCCTGGTCCAGAAGACTATGGCAGACACCAAGCCCATCATCAGCCGCAGGGTGATGGCTTCTTTCATCCCTTGGACTGCGAACCCACTTTACAGATTGGGTACGCAATGAATTAATGCTCTCAAACTCCCTTTCTTAACCCTTAATCCCTCTTTGGTTTCCTAATGCATTTCTTTACAACTTCTAGTTATAGTGGGCGGCAGGATGATGGTAGGTCTAATAAAGTAAAACTAATCCCACATTTGGCCTAATCCTCTGACAGATTCGCTGCTTCTTGTACTTGTCATAAAATCGAAACTGAAACTAGATAGATTTATCATCACGAAAACACAACACATGAACTTTCATTAATGTCCGTAGAGCAAGTACACTTCATGGAAACATAATTGTTTGTTGTAAATCGGCGAATTGTGGAAATGTCTATTCTAACCCCGAAAGGATGAATCAGTCCATGTTGACGTTGTTACTAGCTGCTTACTTGCGCATGAACATCATAAGCTTATTGGTGAAATGTTTTGAGTGTAGATATCAGCCAGATCCAACACTAACGGATTTGACAGTAGCAACGGCCGGTCCCAGTGTGAATAACTACATGCCAGGATGGCTGCCATGACCTGTGCTGTGGCCCAACACTTCCATCTGCTACAATGCATGGAAACGTCATAATATTGCAGCATAAGAAGCTTCATCTAAGCACACAAGTTTATTTTTTCCTATTTCATTTTTTTTGTTTGGAACAAGTTGCAGATGGCTAAACTGATATCGATCTATCTATGTATGCTAGAACTATCCTAGGGGGAAGAAGGAAAACGGTTGGGCAAGTTATGTTTCTTTTGGTTGTTATGTGTGCTGATGTGTTATTGAACAATAATTTTGCTCCATATATATCAACTGGTTTTCTTTGTGTGCCATGGATTTTTTGTTATATGATGTAAGGAAGTGGTTAAGTACCATACATGGGCCTGTATAAAATGCAACATAACCTTCTTCCAACAACTCGAGTTATTGGGACCAACTGGTTTGTGACATGGTATCAGAGCTGGTTTGTTCTTGAGGTCAAGTGTTCAAGTCCTCACGACCCCCAATATTAACCGTTGTCTTTCAAGCACATGGTATGGCGGGCCTGTGCAAACTTCAAGCCCATGAGTTGACTTTCGTTTGAGGGGGCGTGTAAGGAAGTGGTTAAGTACCATACTTGGGCCTGTATAAAATGCAACAAACCTTCTCCCAACAACTCGAGTTATTGGGACCAAATAGTTTGTAACATATGATGATATATTATATATGTATGAAGGTCGAGCACAGCGTCTTTCTCATCAACTTGTACTCATTGCACATTCCCACATGTTTGGTAGATAAAATTGGTCTTGTGTTCGTAATAGCTCATTCCGACCATTCCAGGACCTGAACCAAGCAACATTTGCTACTTAAAACCATGCAATTTAACACCGAAGAGGTGATTTAGTGATAATATTTATATTATGAGAACATTCATCGGACTTTAAATTCGAACTTTGAATTCAACAATCATCTAAAAATGCATCCTCACTAGTGCAATTGCTTAGTATAAATTGTCATAACTTGAACAAAATACGTCTTGAATTATACAAGTATCAATTGCAGAGCACTTCTACTATGCTATATAGTATTGGTGCTTTAATGTACAACTTAAAGTTGTACCATAACATTAAACGTATAAGTTTAGGTTGTACCATAAAGCAATTTGTACCATTATGTTATGGTACAACTTTACAACTTGAAGTTGTACCAACACATAAAGGTACAAGTTAAAGTTGTACCGTAAAAAAATTTGTACAAAAAGTATAGGTACAATATGAAGTTGTATCATAACGTAAATGTACAATTTTAAATTGTACCATAAAGACAACCCTATAGCACCAATACTATATAGCATTATAAAATTCAATTGCAATATACTTCATTTTGACTTGACACATAGTCCTTCAGATTTATTTTGTTGTGTCTTGGCTGGGGGTACTGACCAATGAAACTAATTCGACTGGGCGGTATTTCCCGAACCAAACCAGCCACCATTAGACCCAGCCATAACTTGGGTTAGCTATATTCGTATTTTATCGATCCAGCCCAACTCCTGGGCTCCTCCGGCGCCAAATTGGTATCTAGACTCAAGGCTTCAGGCCTGCGTGGCAATGTTGGAGTGAGAGATGATGCACATTCATCAATCTGCCATAAAGTAATAAATAAGAAAAATACACGATTAGGAGAAAAAAAAATAGTACATAACGACTCCAATTTTCTATGTATTAGGTTCTTATACTCTCATTAAATCTATAAAATCATATATAAAGATTGTAATTGGGGAGAAATTTCATGGTCCACGTCATAAATGGTAAAGAGGGAAAGTAGATTTTAGGACGGCTAAACTAAAATTTTGGGATGATAGTGAATTCTACGCTTGCAGTCAAAATACTTATCAAATATCCTACGTCCTATATCTCATTCGTTTTATATAAAATTTCACAACTTTTTGTATAAGAAAATCGAATTTTTTTTGCTTTACAAGATGATATCCATTTAGATATTTTTTGGAGTAAATTCTTTCAGGATTATATATTTTTCTTGGCTTTAACTTTTCACATATTTAACATGCCGGCCAATCTTATCGATCTATAACATCGTGCCATAACTATTCCCAGTTTTCGCTAAATTGGACAATTCCGAGAGTTGACTAGTCACAATAGGAGGAGTAGTCTGGGTAGTAGGTCCAAAATCAGAGGGTGAAGATGCATACTTCACCTTGTAGACCTCGAACAATAGTGTCATCTCTTTCTTTACTTGATCTGCCAAAGCTTCCTCTTTTGACTTTCCATACATCTCTTCCAACATCATAGTTAGATAGTATAGTTTACGCCTTGGATCAAGCACATAGGCCATGTAAACTATCCTATTTATTCTAAGGTTATCCTCCTCATCATCAACATCATTCTCAAACCAATACTTTCTTACCTTTGCCTCTGTTCTTTCTGCCATTCTTTGTATATGTTCATCTACATCATTCTTCAAAGTAGCAATCACTTGATGAATATCAACAATGGCTCTGCAGAAAGTATGTGCAGTGACATATCCTATTCTTGATACAAAGAAAAAATTACAGAATAAATATAAGTGAGAAATCATTCACTTTAACTTTAAGACATGAATTTTAAAATTTGATAGTTCATTCACATACTTGATACACGAAGAGTAAGATCATAAAAGAACTTCAGGTACTTCATGAGGCGCCTAATGCTGCTACAATCTTGTCCAGATGGAAGACCCTTCTTGGAGTCCACATAGTCTCGAAAGGAAGCATCAGTAGGACTATCATACATGACCTTAAACACTGACTCAAACCTCTCTGCAGAATCCAACATCAAATAGGTGGAATTCCACCCAGTCAGAACATCCAAAGACACAAGTCTTCTACCATCCATCTCTAGGTAGTCAATGCTAGACTTGAACTTTGCACTCCGAGCGGGTGATGACTTCACCCATTTCACACAATCCCTTACCCTCTCCACAATAACTCTAACCTCTTTCAATCCATCAGAAACAACTAGATTGATTATATGTGCCACACATCTATACTACAGATACTTCCCATCTAGCAAATCCGACCCCCACCCTTTCATTTTTGTTCTCATGCACTCAACGAGAACATCATTGGAAGTGGCATTATCCATTGTCATGCAAAACAGATTCTTCACTTTCCATTCTTGTAGACATGTTGCCAAAGTATCTGCAATATCTCTTCCTATGTGAGTAGTAATGGGAACAAAACAAATAATCCTCTTCTGCAGCTTCCAATCATCTCCAATAAAATGTGCAGTCACACACATATAATTCTGGTTATTATCACTAGTCCATGTATATGTAGTGATAGAAATCCTTCCTTTGCACTTTGAGTTAAAAAAACTCAATCAACATCTCTTTATTCTCCAGAAAAAATGGCATAACAATCAGATCTTATTGTTTGCCTTCCAGGTATCACAAACAAAGATTGAGTTACTGCCATAAATCTCCTAAATCCTTCCTGTTCAACAAATCGAAACGAAAGCTTATCCAAGATTATCATGATAGCTAATGCATGTCTAGCTTTGTTCTGATTAAACGTCCACGGAATAAGAGAGCCTACCTGACCAGTCCCACTAGCTTGATAGTTTAATACCGACTGCCCATTAGATTCCTTCGACCTCCTTTTGCACATCAGGTGATGGTTTTTCAAACCAGTAGTCCCATTGTTGGTAGAATGAGCTTTGATCAGCCTCCCACACTGTTTGCATTTTTCAAATGAATAGTCATACACTAGCACCTCATCATAAGGGATTCACCAATTAGACGTCTTCTTCCCCTTGTCAATTTTCTTTTGCACACCAGGTACCTCACTAGCAACACCAGTAGTAGTAACCGGATTTGCTTCAGATTGAGGTGGATTTGCTTCAAATGGAGGTGGTGGATTTGCTGCAGATGGAGGAGGTGGATTTGCCGTAGTGGAAGGTGCACTAGTTGAAGCCTTCCCTTTCTTTGAAGAGCTTCGAGGACGAGGAGGTAGCGAACCAGCTTTCTTTGATTTTTTTGTCCTACAAAATTACAAGAAAATGGACACATAAACAACCAAACCATTTAAGTTTTAACCATTCAATTCAATCAATTGATCTTGTGAAGACTCAATTCATTACTTCAAGTCTTCAACTACTCAACTACTCAAGTATGCCATTTCTGCATTGCTCATTTTTCAAACATTCAACCCAAACTCAACCAAATTCTCATATCTCATAAGTCATACATATTCCAATTTCCAAACATCAATCACTAATTCAAACTCAAAGCTTCCATCAAACACTACTGACTAGTGCCTAATCAAACATTAATAACTATTCCAAGCTTCAATCACTAATTCAAAGCTCCAAACATCATTCACAAAACTAAAATTAATAAACATTAACATCATTCAAAGCTTCTCATACATTTTTTATTTTTTCTCTTTTACTTCTAATTCCAAGCTGCTGCGGGCTGCTGCTGGCACTTCGCTGGGCGCTTGGGGCCTTGGGCTGGCTGCTGGTCGAGTTCGAGGAGCTCGACAGCTCTGCCTCTATTATGTTCCACAAAAAACCAAAATTAACAAACATAAACAAGGAGGGGCAGGGACTGGCGGACTGGGGAAGAAGAAAGATGAAGGCAAGAGAATGAGAAGGGAACTTACAGAGCGGCAGCGAATGGGAAAGGCGAAGGCAAGCTTCATCGCCTGCGACAGGGAAAGAGGAAGGCTTCGGGCAAGGGCAGAGCGTCGGATATGGTAGGCAGAGTCGTAGAGGGAGGAGAATTGGAGAGGGAAGGGCGGAAGGTGGCAGAGCGGGTAGCTCGGTGGCGGATCGGCGTCGCCGGGAGGTCGGAAGGCGAGAAGAAGGAGGGGAAGCGAGGCGGCAGATGGTTGAAGGTGCGAGATTCTCTAGGAAGATCGCTGAATGACGATGGATAATTGGGTATTAGGGTTTTAGATCCATCCCCAGACTCCTTCTTCCATGCGCTGCATTTTGTAGCCAGTTTTGTGCCCCTCTCCTTCCGTCAGGGTATCCGGTTAACTGGAAAATTGATGGTATATACCGGGTGGGGAGAAGGTATACCGGTGCACCAAAATGGCCCTCCAACAACCGAGTGTCCCGGGAAACCGATTGTCAACCCTAATCACAAGGAAGTAGTACAAGTAATAACATAAAAATTCAAACGGCACTAGTAATCATTCATGTAGGAATAATCTCATCTCAACAAGGTAGTAGACCAGTAGTAATCACATACTTGAATAAAAGAATGGACACAACAAATTACCTAATAATTCGACTTTGTAAAGTCCAATTCTTATCGATATAGTGTGCAGTCTCTGCCATGAAACCCTTCTTATCAGAAGATGTCCACATATCAGTGGTTATTGCCACTCGACCTT